TTTTTTTTTTGCCAGGCACTGGTTGCCAGTAACTCGTTGCTACATTTTTGACATGATTTTATCATGATTATGAGTGATAATTGTACTTATTCGTAGTAATATTCATCTTCATCATTTTGTCATGAGTGTTGGCATTATCACAGTTCACTAATAATAATCATTAGTGAAATTAAACTATTTTCATTAATTTCTTTTCGTGGGAATCCTTATCGCTTTAGATGTTGGAATAAGAAAATTAAAATAAAAAATAAATTTAATCGAAAAATTATTATTTTCTAATTCCATCTGGTTTTGCTAATAAAAACAAATTCTATTATTTAAAAATGCAAAAGATTTAGTAAATAAGTAAAATCTTTCAAAATTTCACTTTTTGAATCTAGTTTTTAGTACTCTAGCAGCTCCGTTGACGGCATTACACATCTGGAGCTATATATTTCCGTTCACTAACTGGCAAGGTGCTACCAGCGGTCTACTTACCGGATTTGCAACTGCTGCTTTCCTATTTTATCTATATGTGCCGACTCAGGAGTTCTCACAGCTGTGCCTGAATACCACCACCATCATTAGCTCGCCGATCTTGCCACCAGTTTGGCCACATTTCAAGATCGAAAATCCGGAATTTAATTTCGCACCAGCTGTCTTACAAACAGCGCTTGATGAAACGCAGAAATGGCTCCCGATTTTAGGTGAAATTCCAGTCATGTGGCATCCACTGGCTGCATTCTCGGTTTGTTTCGCTTCATGATTTTTGATTATGGGTTTGAAGGAAATCTAGGACAAAATTATGACATGTGTTGTCCACATTATTTTCAGAAGCCGAAACATGAGCTTTCAATACACATGCGCTTCAAGCTTTCAGTTCACAAGAAAGATTCGGGAGGACTACTGCGCTGTTTCATGAAAGTAACTCGCCAGAATATCTTAGGGCCGGGATTTACAGCAATGCGAAATAAGAATATTGTATTTCCTCATTATGTTTCATCGGAATAACTTAGAAACGGGATTTGCAAAAATCCGGAGTAAGGATACTAATATAGTAAGGATACTAATATAAATCCGGAATAGTAAGGATACCAGCTTTAACTGACACCAGCTTTAACTATACCAAGAGGATGGCCAACATAATATTAGCATCGAGAGTTCCGCACTGCAGGCTGGCGAACGTGATAATAATACCAGTTCTAGGTGACGTCGATATTAATGTTACTGGTATCACTCTGCACGGGCGGCAATAATTTACACGAATCACTGGTACTCTGCACACGATACTTACGTACTTCCAAACGCTATCCTGATGCTTATACTGATTTCATGGCACGCCAACCAAAAGACTTATTTTCTGTGCGCCATAGACACGGCTAGCAGAAAACCAGGACTCTCTGGCAGTCAATATTAGCATTAAAGTTAGTATTTCTTATTGATTTTTCTAGTAGCGTCACAAAAACTACTTTACTAAACAGCACCTTTTTTTCGCTCATCTCGGAGTGCTGTGCTGCTGAAAAAAAGTGGAATACAAACAGACTATTGGGGGTGTTTACACCCAAAAATTTAATATGCCAAAACAAGTTAGCAAGCAGAGAACAGAACCTGTCTTAGAAAGGGGGCAGTTGTTTTACACGGTAAGCAACCATTAATACCGGTGCTGACAAATGCGCTAGCACCAAAAAAGAAAGAACTGGTTTTCCGGCTTCCAGCAAATCGAGTTTAGAAGGAGGGAGGAGGAATAACAGTACCGGAACGCTTCGCCACTATATGATAAAAGCGATCTATTTATCCCAAACTCATTTCTTCCGGGGAGAGAGGAATGTTCCAGTACTTACAGTTCTTAGCCAGCATAGTTCATGGAAGAGAGAACTTATTCGTCTTACTTGCCTTAATTCATTCGTACTTTGCTCCTTCTCTCTGTTTGCTCAGATCAGTCTTTAACGTCAATGTTAATTTGAAATTAAAGCAAACTTTAAAGTCTGGAGTTTAAAGTTAAGCAAATTTTAGTAAGCATTATATAATACAGTACGTAACAATATATATACATAGGCGGATCCAGGACAGTCTCCTGGGGACAAGAGGGCGGGG